CCTGCTCCCACAGTTTTACTAGTAACTCGTATAAATCATCCACAAGTGCAAGAACCCGAATTTAAAGAAGGCAAGAGGAAGATAATCTGGTCCCGCGGTTTTATGTAACTTCAACAGTGCGATCTCACTTTCGACTTCTGAGCGAGAGGGTGGATCTACAGGGACAGCCCAGGGAGCTGAGCGATCAGTCGCAGGCGAGAAATCTAACAATTCCAACCGATTAAATTTCTTTCAATGTGCTCAGTCCAACGCTACAAGCAGTTTGACAGGTTGTGTTTAGGCTGTCCACTATCGTCATGTATAGTTTCACTAATACCTGGTCTCCTGCTGCCCGTTTCCCGTAACAGCCGGAATAACTTACAATGGTTCCCAAGGGCAGCGGCAAGTTTCATCTCTGATGCACGATGCGACCACCAGGATTAGCGGTCTCTCTTCAGTCTAGCACGGAGTTTTTCGTGGAGCTCTTTTCGAGTTTCATTGTGTTTACTTCCAGGCGGAATATGCCGGCGAGCATCGATGAGTTCAAGAGACTGCGAAGAGGCCCAATTCTATGTTGGCGATTAGACTAACCACATGACGATTTGCCTGCTGCTAGTAAGGACTGGTGAATATGGGACCACTGAGACTCAAGTGCATCTAGTGATCGCTTACTCAACTCGCATGGCAGCGCAGTTTGATAGGCAAGATGTGTTTCAAACTAACAGATTCCACATTCTACTTTTACGCGATATTTGAAGCAATACTGTAGAATCTACGAAGAGCAAACGAGTAGACAATCGTACAATTTGTGTTATTTTTGAATGCATTTGTTTAGGTAATTCCTTGGTATGCCGAAATATTTCCTATGGGTTTCTAGCTTGTCATCATACTATCTCATGTTATTATGGGATCTGCCGAAAATAAACCTGTACTACCTATTTTAACATGTGGAAAACAGTGTTTTGACTAACAACCGGTATGTGCTTGTGTGGGAAGGATATTAGTGCAATGCGACATACGATTTTGTGTGCGAATTATTGGCGTGCAGATAATCCAGGTATGCAAGCGTGATGGACAAATTAGTTGCTAAAGACTATGACACGTTCGGTGAATCTCAGAACTATTCATTTTGTTTAAGATATTAAATTAGTTAACCAGATGTCTTCACCTTCCCTTCAAATGGAACGTCTCGACAATCAAGGTTTCCTCAATTTGGTGTAACGCAGCGGAAAGGGCTACCAACTTGCAAGCGCACTCCACACATTATGGTAAATGCACGTTTAGTTGCTAACAATCGACATGTCGTTGCATATCATCCATTGTTGCCTAACGTTGCCAACACGTATTTGGGCTAATAATAATAATGATAACTGGCCACTTAGGAAGTGAAGTTGCAAATGGAATCAAACCATTATGATGTTTATAAATAATATTTCTTAGTTTACACCGTCGTCCAACGTTGTAAAAACTGTCGATAGAATGAGCCGAACGTGCTCCGAATATCGCAACAGTTTATGACAGCTTAGGAGGTTAAACTAGTTTACACCGCTGGCACTAACCGAGAAGAAGTCACTGGTATCCAGCGGAGACAAATTTAAGCTTTGCTCAGTAGGTACCACTGAATGCTTGCTGGTGTTCATTTGCTTCATAAGAAACGGGATTTTAAACATGAAAATGCCGATTTCTCGTGCCATACTATCCCTACGTGATCTTGGTATGGTTTCGTGTGTACCACTTAAAATTACTGTGTTACCTATTACTCCAAGCGATCGGCAGTCTTCACATGTCCAGAGGAAAACAGTGTAGATCTCTTTGGGTCCCGAATATGGAGCAAAACATGTACAGCTGGACAATCAACCTGATCATATTTTTCATTGCAAATCCAGCCATTAGCTGGTTAAGACTGTGTATATGAATCCTACTTACAGTTTGGGACGTTTGGCCTAATAAGTGAGCCAATACATGTACGTAAAGTGGCCGCGAATAAAAATATTTCATGGTCCCAAGCAAAACTCAATCATCATTTTTCACACGTACACTCATTTTATAGAACAATTTATTCTGAAACAGACAGCGGTCTGCTTTCACCTGATTATGTTTAAGTAAGGTAAATTATCGGTACCGCATTTTTACCAGAGTAGACGAGATAATCCTTCTTCGAGCTGGCATACCAGTGATTCGATAAACTTTTAACTAACGAGGGATCCAGAAATTATGAATAAGATGGAAAATGCCCAAGATTTACTAAGGTGGCAAGCTAGGCGAAATCCACAATTTCTTGCAATGCACACAATGGCGAAAGGCAAAAGTGGTATGATTAAAAAGATATTAAACAATGCGCATTATTCTCTCGCTGTTTTATTCTTGCTTCTAGATGTTACATATATGGCGAATTGTTGCTGCTTATAGAATGGAATTGGGTGATGTGCAACTAAGGTAGTAATATGGTTGTCCCGGAGACACCATTCCATAAAATCCTCTAAAATAGGTTACAAAGAGGAAAATTTTCATCACAGTTCGTGGGGAAAATCCTTGTAAGCGATTGAAATGGTTTGGCAAGAAAGCAGTAACAAATCAAATCAAAGTAACCAATCAAACAAGCTTCATATATAAATTATTTACGTTGTTATGCGGCTGTGATTCTACTAATAAGGCTTATATATGACGGAAGTAATTCACCTTTTCCATAAAGCATTTGCTACTCTGGGTCTGCACACGCTGTCTTTTTAATGGCATTTAGGTTAAGAACGCGTACTCAGAAACTAAGAAAGCAAGGAGCACCTGCTTTGCAACTGAGTGCTTTCCATCTAACAGTTGTAAATTTTTAGGACAGTAGGTGGACTAGTTTCAGTTTCTTGTAGTTTTACAGCAAATCCTCTAATCAAACCTTTGAGTTTTGTGTAGTTGTCTATGTCTAGCCATTATCAGAAGCAAGAAATCTGTATGACCTTAGACAGGCTCATCAGGAGGTGTCTCCAGACAGCCTACTGACTTACCCTCTGACAGTCTGATTTGGTAGATGTTAGCAAAAGAACCAGACAAAATAGCCCAAAACAATAGTCAAAAACGTTACTGTATGTAGAACACTACGTTTGCTTCTTAGTAAAATTTAAGAGAACAGACTGCAAAATTGATTCTAATATTTACAATATCGTGTGTTCCAAAACTGATCAGAGCCAAACAAGTATACATCGAAGCAATAACACGCTTTCGCAAAATAACTGCTCGAAGATATGCATACCCTTCTTTACTATTTATTCAACGGCTTCATTTGACGTAAAAAATCCTATCATAAGCACTTGAGAAGGAGAACTGCTAGTCTGATGTAACAGGCAGGTGCGGTTATTAGATATTAAGCTAAAAGTGATTAGCTCAATCATTCAGTGGTTTTCAGTGAGTATGAGCTTAATGAGAATTATATGGTGAGGAACAAAAACACAAAATTGCATATCTTACATGCATTTGTAACCTTGGGTTTCGTTTTTTTAGTATACATTACGAAACTAGTTTATGTTCACGTCTTATAGATTGGTCGACCAGGAAGTAACGGTCTAAGAACATTTTCGATCTATTTTGCATTGAAAGTTGTCAATTTATGATAAAGACCGATTAGTTTAAATTACACCGCGTACATGGCATGTCATATTATAACGTATAATGATTAACCCACGTGACATATTTGTCTTGAGAACCTTTGCTTCTATTCATTATAAATGTATGTATTCTTTTCAGAAAGCAATCTTGCCCGTCAACCTAACAACACCAAGGCGATGAATCCAAATGGGCAACAAGAAAATATTGTTTGTATGAATTAATAACAGGATAAAATCGAAAAGTATTCTATATCAGATGCATGCTTGGGGTTGCGAATGTTGGGGATCAACTTTGGAATAAAGCCTGGCATAATATGAGGCTGAATATTGAACCAAATACAGAACTAGTATTGACCTATTTTGTAATCAGGTTCTTACGTGCAAGGCTTACTTGACAGTAACACTAGTTCGTCAACTTTAACATGTAGTACCAAGAATTTGATTAAAGCCTGTTAAGTGCCATGATTTTAGACATAGAAGTACATTTGCCTGAAATGAGCAGCCGAAAATTGCTACACAGAATGCTCAACAGCAAACTACGGTTTATCTATTAGCAAATCCAATGGAAGTTTTCTTCTCAGTATTTTGTTCCACTATTATAATGAAGGCATAAAAAGAGTTGGTTAAAAGGAAAATGGTGCAACTGTGGCTTTTCAAAATTTTTACGTGCAGTGATCGTTTACTTTGTATGTAAAACGTGTGCAACAAAATGACATTCAGTGCGTAGTGGATTGATTACAACGGAACAAACAACGCGAATTTCTTCACAAGCTGGAAGCATGTCATGGCGTCCGTATTGGCATCAAGAGACGACTCACATATCAAAACCACCCCAAGCATAAAACATTGTTTAGAAACGGCTCTGTTTTCTCTTGCCCCGCCAGTCTGCCTTCGGTTTGCAGCATGCTCACCGGTTGAGACCAGTGGACCGACAGGTAACGACACTGGTGAATATTGATCGGCTCTGTCGCGCCACAACTTAGGTACTATGGTCACACAGCTAATCCTACAATAACCGTCTGAACTTTCTGCACAGTCAACATGAGTGCCAGTGTGCATGTAGGAAATACAGCCAGCAAGAAAAACAAAAAGTTCGTGCTGCTTAAACTGCTCATCTCTGTTTGTTTGCTACCAAGAGGAGTGCAAAGTAGTTGTAGAAACAGGGTTACTTGTGGGTTACCGGTAGTGAATGATTAACGCTTTTGTTGTAGTTGCTTATTAAAAATAGGGAGTGATAACATGTATGGTGGGTATACTAAGACAAACAAATAAACTGTTCACCTAATAATCAAAACCATTGGTGGTTTTCTCTCTGCTGTAAAATAATATGTTTCACTATGTGAGGGTAACAGGCGATTTAAGGTCAAAGCAAGATAACAAGCAGTGTAAATCTGCATGAAAGGCACAATATTTCAGGTGGATTAGTAGTTACTTACGGGGATGAATCGCCTCGTTACGTATTTGTTCCGCCTCCAGTATACTAACCGGAAAGAGTAGGCAGTATACAATTAAAACGTAGATGATAGCGGAGTATGGTCGGAATGTGTGGATCAAACTGGCGTAAAAATTGTGGCCTTTTCTTTTCACTAACAAAGTTTCCAATGCTTCCTCTTCATGTGGGCTACCTTCTTCATGTGAAACGTTTACAAGCCCCGCTGAGTTGTTGAATGCGGACTTCCATAACTGTCTGAAGTAGGCACAGGCAAACAGCCGCTTCTGAAGATGAACAATATCGCGTCCGAGGAGGATAGAATCGTTGGCCAAGTGACCAGTGCGTGAAATAGCGGAGTAGAACATGACCGGTAACAGCGCGAGAGCAATAATGATAGCGATCAGTTGGGTATTCAATGTTACAGTCTCGTCCCACTGCGAACCGAAGCGGGGATCGTAAGCCTGCGATTTAAATGCACAATATCGAGAAACAGCGTTGATTACAAGCCACAAAGTAGAGAAAGCAGTAAAAAATGCGGCCCACGCAGCATGCAGGCTACCGCAATTGCTGCCCAAACCACTTCGATGCAGGAAACGAGAACACCAACCCGGTTGGACTCCCGTTGTGTTTGTCCATAGTTGGCGACGGGAGGGATAAAATGCGGGATGTTGTGGACTGGAGGACATCAAGTTTCAGAACAGGTGCCACATGGAGATAGGAATGGCGCTTGCTGGTTGACTACTTGAACCTGCAAAGACCTGATCCAAGTGTCACTACATTCCATCGTTCTTCAAACCGGTAAGCCCAGCGCTGATCAAACATTTTCTACCTCAAGTCTCAGAAGGTAGTGTGCTTCTTAGATGTCAGTCAGGCCATTTTGCACTGGACCAACCAAGGCGCAGCGTTGGTTGACTCACCGTACATAGGCCGTTGATTGGTGGAATGGTGTCGATGCACTTGGGCGTACACTAGTGATGGGCGTTGGCCAGTTGAAGGGTGGAAACCAGTTAACACATAGAATGTGTTTGTCTAAGAAATTACCAAAGGGGATTTCAAATGGGGTCAATGCATGAAACGGAATGGATCCGCATGACAATAAACTGCCTTGCTCCAACATTCAACGGATAAAGGACCTGTTCCTAGAGTGGTTAAATAATGTTAAGTGTAGACATTTTAATTTGCAACAACTTTTATTTAAAGCTACTCATTAATAGTCAAAAAATCAGTCCTACATAAAGTAACAACCGCACAATTTCATTATTTTGATGCTGAATTTTGAGCAGATATATGCTACATAGCAGGGCGAATCTTATTGATGTTAACTTGCATGCCTTCCGACGTTGAAGTGGATGACAATTTTTGTCGTCTTTGCTCTAACTAGCCTTTTACCTCTAGGCTGCATTTGGGAGCAGTGTCTGCTCATGCGCAAAACCTATTCAACGGTTGTACAGAATGTTGCGTCTTTGGAGAAGCACGCATCTCCAGGCTGACATTTCTGGTTTCCTATATCAAGTATAAAAGACAAAATCAGCTGTTAGCCTCCTTAGTAGATCTCAGCCGATGGATTTCTGCTGTAAAGTGATTTCAAGGTAAACACTGATGACGCTTTTAACCTATGATCTTTATGATTAATTGGCCGGGTGATGTGGCCGAAATGCTCTACTCAGAACGCTCAGACTTCTGTTAGCTCTGCATGTCCACAACGTACAATTGAGATAAGTACGTAGGAGAACTCGCAACGCCCATTCACAGGTGGGGAGGTGTAAATGGTATTTCTGCAGCTGATGCATGACGTTCGACTGAATAATGCCAAACACCACACTTGCTTCTAAAACCCTGAGCAACTTCCGAGTTGACCACTGTTAAACCTTGTCAGTGACACTTGACAGTGCTGGATGATCACGTGCCTTCACACTAGACAGTCGTATTCAACCTTCCATTAAAATTGCATTAAAGGAGGAACTTATCAATGTAATACAACCCGCAAATACTGCACAAAAAGGATGACACTTACAATGGGCTTACCTTTTAGCTAGAAATGCATCAATACTTGGCGTACGTGAAGTTGAGCCCAAGTCCTGATACTGAACACCTGGAATCATCTCAGGCATTCTGTTTAGAAAATCAAAACAGTCGTAACTTAATATCCTTCTGTAAACCGGATGTTATTTTTGCTAAAATGCATGTTGCGACCATTGAAAGACTCAGGAAACACTTCAGTGGGCCGTACCTTTCTTACTCTTGAGCGCAACCTCTGGGTATGGATGCACGACGGCCTCGGCTGCTCGGAGCAGTCATTGACTGACTTCAAAACCGGTAACCAAAGTGTTGAACATTGAACAACCATTTAGCATGGGTAAAAATCAGATAATTGATAAGTTCCGCAAGATGCTTAGAGTGGAAGGTAAACATAAGATAACTGAACCGCAAGTTTAAGCGTCTCACGATTTAACTGCACCGTTGCATAAACATATTTTGAAATGGGAATTAGATTGAGGCACACAAAGTACTACGCTTAGTATTTATAATTTGCTTACTTCACAAGAGAAATAAAAAATTGAAATGAAAGCTTTCGTTCGTGTGCCGCTTTCTTAGGACGATGTGATAAGCAAATCCAGTCTGGATAAGTCTAGATTAGCAGTGTTTAAGAAAAAGAGTACGGGAAGTGAAGTGGAGCATATAGGTTAGTAGTAGTAGGTTGACGCGCACACAAATGGGCTCCCATAGCGTATTGTTAATGCATGAATATTCATGTAGACCTATTGTGAAGACCATTAATGTGGGAAAGCAACAAACATGTCAGTATGGATGTTTTTTCAAGTTTGAAGATAATTCCGGCTACATTACAACCGGCCATACTGTGTGTCTAGATTTAGGTGGGGACTTCTCAAAATGATGCAGCTACTCAGCTTTAGAAGTTAACAAGAAGCATGATGTGATGTCCTTGTGATCGTTTGTGACACCAAATCGCCTTGCTGACGTAGGTATTGTCCATTGTAGACCCCAAGATTTTCAGCCTAAATTAGTAAGAGGGATGAAACAGACTATTTAGGGTGTTGGTTGCCATATTTTGTAGTATATCAAATGCGGTGAGCTCCTGCTTGTGCCAGGACTGCAGGCGTAGTTGGGTTATTCTGGGTGAGGTCGCTAATGGCTTTGCGCATCTGAGGGTTGAATAGAGGGTCAAACTGCCCAAATGCCTTTTGCAAAAAGCCAAGCTGTTGGTTGGCCTTATTAGATGCTTTCTTGGCCTGATGTAAACAGCAAAGATGGTCTTGTACCATTAATCCAGGTCGCAATCAGTAGAAGCGCGCTGCAAAACTTGATCCCTTAGCCCGTACTTACAATTGAGTTGGTAGCGTATGCCTAATGTTGCACTTAGTGGCGCTGAAATTAACCAGATTTTACTCGCCCATTCCTATAACTTATAAAGGCCACCCAGAAGCGGTGCTTGGTCCCTCGTTATTTTGTTGAGCTCATCAGCGGTACGTAAGAAACTGGAAGTAAGCGTTCACTCGAGATCTTTTATGTTAATAAGGAATAGGTGTGAACTGATTACTGATACCTGTGACCCTCCATTCTGAACACCAATATGGGCAGTGATGCTGTTGCGAACTATCCCTTTCTGTAGTCGTTGATCAGAAAGTTACCTATAGAACCGAGAACCTTGTCACTGATTTCACAGCACAAAAGCATTTTTGTAAGGATGCAGTGGTTCAGATGGTCGAACGCCATTGAGAAATCCAAATGAAATGCTTCAACACTGACACCGCTGTAGGAGGTTTCGGTCCAAATGGAGCGAACGTGTAACAGGTTGGTGCTGCAAGACTGGTTCTGGCAGTCCATTTTTACTGGGGGCTAAGATATTGCATCATTTCAAGTAATTTGTGAGAGCTCCTGAAATTATATTCAAAGGTACATGTATATATATGCTTACATATATATAGTAATGTAAAATTATTACTTTTGTTAAATATTCTATAGGATACTCCATGACATTGGAGAACATCGAAAGAAGTGTTATTGGGTGATATTTGGCCAAATGCTTATAGATTCCAACTTATGATTGGCAGTGACGGTTCCGTTACTCCACGATGTTAGAACTAGCATCACATCGCCACATGTTCGACAGAACTGAGAGCTTGGATCCACCTTTACGCGGATATTATCAGCACCAGAATAGGTATGCTGGCATCGGGAAATTAGCATTTCTATGTCATCTGCAGCAATGGTACAACTCGCGTGATCGAAATAATCAGCTAACCCGTTTTCTGGGATGTTTGTGAGAATTGCTAACATAAGGTGTTTCCTGATTTTGTTACAGTGTTTGCTGGTACACATGGCGTGCGGATGGCAGGAACAGGTCGCTGCTTTTGCGGACTTGGTTATCACTATCTAAAAGAGCTAAGGGTATGGAGAGATTTTCTCATGTAGATACTGTTGATACTTTAGTTTATCCTCGCGTACCAGTTGCACTCAATGTTTTCTTTGGATAAATAACTTGCCTATAATTCGGCAGACGGTGGCTCTTTGTAATTTGGCCAAATTAAATATCTTCTGAGCATACAGTTATGCGTTCTGCCCCCTATGAATAGTCCTACTCTCATAGCGAGCAGGAACCTGCTCCTAGAAGCATTGGTGATTAACTTGTAGAGGTGTTGGAAAAAACCATACTAAGAAACAACAGGCGATAGTTAAGCTATAAACGACCAATTACTTTTATTAACGAGCATGGTCAGAACGCCGTAATCCGTGACAAGCTGGGTGTGGTCGGCTTTTCTAGGAATACTCAGTATAAAAATGTATTTGAAGAAGTATTGCATTATCCTCGGGGCGAAAAGCATTAACTATCGATGTTGTTTCGATCATTAGCCCCTTCTTTGGTGAATAAAAGATCCAGGATATTTGGTTGGTTTCCAGTCCTGAATCTTGTGGAGACCTAACGACGTTGTAGAATTTTAATCCAAAGTTTAGCTCCTTGGATTAAATTCTGAAGCATTCATCTAGACACGCTGGTGTTTCTACGGCGTGAAGGGTAAGATTATCAATCAGGTCAATGTGTCTGTGCGAGAATACTTTTCAGCGTGGAATCTAGGCAACTGTACATTTCGGAAGCGGAGGAAAATTGTCTTACCCGATGTCTACTAAACGTGTGCCCCTACGTCTTAGATGAAGACGACACCAAAGCGAGTCGACAATCTGGACCTCTGTGCCATTGATGAGATCAAGAGGTAGCTTCCGGTGTCATTCTATTAATACACCACTTACTCGTTGCTTACAATGGGCATACAGGTAATAATATTTACATGTCAGTGATCATTCCACTCAACCATGTCAAGCTACCTTGATGAGGTCCCATGACATCAAGACCTGACGCAGACGAATTTTGCTCAGTTTTCTGGAAAGTCAATGTGACTTGCACCAAAAGAAACAGACTGACTTTTATGTTAAAATATTGGTGGGAGGTGCAGCCAAATGGTTTGAAATTTGTCCTAACATTTGAGGTCAGCTGTTTATTTGAAGAGTCGCTAAGTCTCGTTAGGAATGTTGCTTATAGGACAACCCAGGTCCTGTTACCCATGATCCCCACTCTCATTCTGAGGTGTCCCTCTTGATGTCATGTCGGCTGTTAGTTTATTCGTTGCGCTGGACTCCACAACGGGTATTTTCTTTGTGTTCGTTGTCCCCATTGATGATTCAGTTGCCCATTGTTTTATTGCTGCTGCCTTCCGTTGAATTTCGTTTGGTAGCTTGTTACGGAATTTAGTACAGTTCTCCAAAAGGGTGTACACCGTTAGCACAGACTGTAAAACTAAGTTT